GTTTTTTCTCCATAAAAGAAATGAAAAAAATGGCAAAAAAAGAAAAACAGTTAGAATCAATGTTTTTAAAACTCTGAAATTAGCCAAAGACTTGAAATGATCTAAAGATCACTTATTTAAAAACTACATCTAAACCTTGGTGATAGCTTTGTGGCTAATATAGCTTACCCAAAACTTACTCTCCTTTCCCTACTTCCAGTCACCTAAAAACAAATAGCACAAAATTTTTGTAAAAACAAGGAGTTTAACTATAAGATGTCTATTTGCAATTAAGCAAATTTTTAAAAATTGAATTAACATAGAAAAGAATGTGGGAAAAATCATGGCTATTAATTTTGATGACATTGTTATAAAAGTATTAGAATATTTTCTGTGTTTAAAAAAGGGAAGAATTTCGTTTTCATTTTATAATATCTTGCAGAAATTTGTATTCAATAGGCCACAATCATAAAATTCATATAATTTAGGATTTCTACATTTCTTATTCACCAGAAGCTATTCCACTTAAATGTTTATATTGCTGTCATATAACTGAGAATTCGGTATTTAATAAATGTGTCTAATTAAATAATCTATTGCAGATATTTACAAAATAAACAAACAAACAAGCAGTTTGACAGCCACTAGAGGGGACAGAACAGGTTGGACCTCCTTAGGGAAGCCTATTTCTAAAGAAGTGTCAATATTTGATCTGTCTGGTGGTTCCCTGGAACACCCCTCTTACAAGGCTATCTTTATTTAAGCTGATTCAGAGCTTGCTAAGTGTGAAAGGCCTTTTCTTTGAGAGAATTGTTTAACATCACAGCTCTCTGGTCGGGGTGGATACACTTGGGGAAAACAATAGAATAACCAAAAAACTTAACATGAAAAGCTAGAAATGAGTTGTCCACAGGCACTTTAATAAGCTCTGACATATTCCTGAGAATCTAAGAGGCCATGCTCATGTTAGGACTGTACCCATGACTAGGAATGTGTACATGCCTGAGTCAGATCCAAGACTTTGCAACAATGGCCATGGTGACAGGGGTCATGATGATTAATGATGTTAAGCCAATTTTTTCATATTTATTGGCCATTTGTCCATCTTCTTTGGCAAAACCTCTGTTCATGTCTTCTGCTAACTTTGTATGGGATAGTTTGGCTTTTCTTACTGATTTGTTTGGGGTCTTTATAGATACTGATATGCAAAATCTATAAAAACCTTTACATAGTATCAGAGGTATATTTTCATATACATCTGTATAGATTCTGGATATCAGACCTATATCAGATGTAAATACTTTCTCCTTATCTGCCATCTAACAAATGCAAACATTATAACCTAATTGTTTGTACACTCACATTATCCTAAAATTTAAAAACAAAAGAGAAAAAAATTTCTCCCATTCTGTTGATTGTTGATTCACTCTGTTGATGATTTCCTATGCTACATAGAAGCTTATTAATTTAATTAAGTCCCATTTCTTTATTTTTGTTGTTGTTGTATTTGCCTTTGGTGTCTTAGTCATATATTCTTTGCCTAGGCTAATGACTAGAAAAGATTTCCTTATGTTTCCTTTTAGAATTGTTATGCTTCCATGCCTTACATTTAAGTCTTTTATCTATCTTGAATTTATTTTTGTATATGAAAGAGATAAGGGTACTGTTTCAACTTTGGCATGAGCTATCTACTTTTCCCAGCATCAGTTATGGAAAAGGGGTTCCTCCATCCAGTGTATGTTATTGTCTGATTTGTCAAAGGAACACTATTCCAGTGGGGGCACATGAACAGTCTCAACCTTAGCCTTATACCAGGTATCTAGGCAATGAAATCATTTGTACTCCATTAACTTTTAAAGTCAGAAAAACTTAAATTTCATTTAAAGCAAAACAAAACAAAAGCAAAATGCTTAAGACGAGAAAAAAATAATAATCGCAAAACCTATTTCAAGGTTAACTCATTATCAATTGAGCAAATTACCATGTTTGACATCTTTTGGATTAAATGATAATCTGAAATAATTTTTCATTAATTTATACTACTAATTCATTTTTTATAAAATTGTGGTATGGTGTTCCTCACCTATACATTTGGCAGTGCAGCATTGATTTTTCTTTTTTAAATTGTTGCATTATAATGGTATAAAAATGGGGAAATATCCCATGCTCATGAATCAGTAGAATCAACATTATTAAAATGTCCATAGTCCCAAAGTGATAGATTCAATGTAATCACCATCAAAATACCAACCTCATACTTCATAATTCTAGAAAAAATAAGTTTATACTTCCTACCATAGCAATCTTAAGAAAAAGAAAAATTCAAGAAATATCACTTTTCTAGCCTTCAAACTCCCCTACAAGGCTATAGTAACCAAAACATCACGGTAGTGATAGAAAAATAGAGACATAGACCAATGAAACAGAACAGAGAACCCAGATATAAAACCATCCAAATAGAGCAAGCTGATCTTTGACAAAACAGACAATATACGCTGGGGGAAAGAAGATGTATTCAACAAATGGTGCTGGGAAAATTGGATAGCAACCTGCAGAAGAAGGAAAAAGCATCCATATCACTTAGCACTCACAAAAATTAATTCTAGATGAATAAAAGACTTAAAAGTAAGACCTGAAACCATAAGAATACTAGAAGAAAATGTTAAGAACACCTCTTTTACACGTTAGTGTAGGCAAAGAATTTATCACTAAGACCAAAAAGGCAATTACAGCAACAGCAAAATTAAATAAATAGGACTCAATTGAATTAAAAGCTTCTGCACATAAAAGGAAACAATCAGCAGAGCAAACAGATAAACTGCAGAATGGAAAAGAACATTCACAAAATCTACACCTGATAAAGAGCTAACATCCAGAATTTACAAAGCACTCAGGCAAATCATCAAGAAAGAAACAACCCCATTAAAAAGACATGAACAGAAGCTTTTCAAAAGAATATAGACAAATGCCCAAGAAATGTATGAAAAAATGCTCAATATCACTAATCATCAGGGAAAGGCAAATTAAAACCACAATGAGACATCACCATCCCCTAGCTAGGAAGGTTCTTATTAAAACGTCTAAAACAATAGATATTGGAGTAGATACAGACAGAAAGAAACACTTATAAACTCTTGCTGGGACTGCAAATTCATAAATATAAGCTCTATGGAAAATAGTGTGGGTTTTCCTCAAAGGACTAAAAGTTGACCTAACATTTGATCCAGTAACCCCACTACTAGGTACCTGACCCAACTGAAAAGAAATAATTTTATCAAAAAGACACTAGCACTTAAATGTTTATTGCAGCACAACTGGTAATTGCAAAGATGTAGACTCATCCCAAGTGCCCACTAATTCATGAGTAGATACACAAATGTGGCATATGAACCCTATAGAATACCATGTTTCCCTGAAAATAAGACCTACCCCCAAAATAAGCCCTAGCAGGATTTCTATGCATTTGTTAAATATAAGCCCTACCCCAATAATAAGACCTAGTGATGGCTGTGGCTATGCTGCTCATTCAGTGTTCAAAGTAACTCATTTTGTTGCTACCCAGGGTTAGAGCTAGTGTCACCAGCTCATCTGGATTTGTCTGGATCTATGGTAAGTGTATTACAGAAACTCACACATTCTCATCTTTGTAAGCCAGCCAAATACAGGTGAATGTCACCCACAAACTGATACCTTCTTAGTCCCAGAATACTAACTCTCCTCCTATCAACCTAATATGGCTCCTCTCTGCCACATGGAACAGATTGTAAAAAATATCTTCTTCCCAACTGTCATTCATAGAACTGGGATAAACCTCTGGAGTAGGTTCTACAGAGAGAGATAGCTGTTAGTGTTCACTCAGGCTTTTGGAGGTAAACAAACTTGGACCAAAGCATGGATTCAATTCAACAACCTGCACATATCAGTACCATGCCCTCCCCATAGACATTTCCCAATATACATGCAGGGAAACCAACAGGAAGGACAGAGAGAACTTCCGGACCCTCCCAGGCCAGCAGGAATTATGACATGACCACATAGTGACCAGAGCAGAAAAAATGCTGATGATGTGATCACTTTCCTTGTATCTGAAAACAGTTTCTAGGAGTTATTCTCAATTAAGAAACAGATCAAACACTTCTGAAAGATTCTTAACACTTAGGAAACAACTTCCCACTTTATTAATTCACCCATTGATTATGAAAAACATTGTAAACTACAAGGAAAAATTCTGCTGATTGGTCCAAACATCAGAGGCCCAGTGTATAAAAGGTCAACATTGGAAGACATCAGCAGATTCTGGGAAACTCACCTCTGAACAGGAACCCACCCTCCACACAGACACCATGACCCACTGTTGCTCCCCTTGTTGCCAGCCCACATGTTGCAGGACCACCTGCTGCAGGACCACCTGCTGGCAGCCCACCTGTGAGACCACCTGCTGCAGCACACCCTGCTGCCAGCCCA